GAGAGCTGCCAGCTTGTTGACGCGCGTGCGATCAGTGATCTGCTTGCTATAGAAGGAATTTCTGTGATGGCTACCAGAGGACCTCGAATACTTCATTACATTCAGCGTGACTTGGTGCAACCAGCTGCATATATATACACTCTCAACACGCTCTCTACACTATGAATGCCAAGAGATGTCCTTCGTCTGTGCAGCTAGACACTTGGGGCCCTATCTTCACTGGTCTCACGGTGTCAACAAGTTGTGCGCACCACTCTGTTATTCTGTATGTATGTATAAAGAGAATGCCAGTGTACACCCCACCTGTGCCACACACAATTGTGACACAACAAGGTTCTTTATTGCTATTCACGAGTGTTTCACACACGAACAGAAGTGGCAGTGTGCATCTGCTTGTACCTCATTGCTGACCCAGACTATTTCTCAGTTGGAGGAATGATTGGCACAGATGCCGCACACTGACTTTGAGGCACGTACAAGTTCTGCCAGCGTGATCTTTAATAGAGACTGACAACATTACATGACAGGAAGTATTGAGGACAATCTTTCATTTCCTTTAGTATATGTTCTGGTTGGCATACTGCAGAATGTCATTGACGTGTCCAGCAGTGGTTCCGGCTCTGGAATTGATCCTTCGGAGAGGAGCATTTTGGGGGATACGCTGGTGAGCCTGCCCGGCATCCAGGAGCTCTTTGGGGTGTCATCCCTGTCCTCTGCGCAACCTTCATCTTATGTTGTGTCTCTCTGAGAGTGCTCCGGCTTCTGCAGCGACACTGTGGGACCTGTCTAGCTGAAGGGAAAAGGTATGTTGCTAGCTCCTGTACCATCTCCGTATGCTTATTGTGCCATGTTCATGAAAAATATTGCCCCATGCCTTCCCCTGACTATCCAGACCAAGACAAACACACCCAGGTCCTAGCACAAACTCCCCACCGAGCTGCTCATGGTCCCCGCCCTCCTTGAAGTCTGTTCTGCCCCACCATTGTGATACCGCAATGAGGCTGTGACGCACATACCGGCCACACTCATGCTCAGCCCCAGATCTGTGTCTGTACATCTGTAAGCTGTTCTCAATGACAACGAGGTCAACATCATACAACAACGCGTGCATGTAGTCCTGGCAACGGTATGGACATCTGCATCTACACCAGCACTCACCCAAAAATTAAGCCACAGCCAGCTGCTCCTCCCAGCTGTTGTAGTATCTGAGGCGCCGGATGCACATCAGCCATGCTGCCAGAGATACCAACATGACGTGCTTAGGCCGTCATGCCCAATATGGATCTGTCATGCCCGTTTTAGATATGACCTGCACAGAGCACTCTCGGCTCTGCGTCCTGTTATGTTTCCTTCAAGTCTCAGCTTCCTAAGATACATTTTATTGGTCTGACCAGATTAGGAAGTAGATAAACTATATAAGAACACGTAGTATTATTTTAGGAAATTATCCTCGATTGCTTATGAATCCCTCGCCTGCACGAAGTCTTTCACAACACTGGCTCAACAGCACATTGCTCGCAAAGTCCTGCACCACTCCTTGGGCCCTCCACAGAAACATGTTGTATACTGACAGATACAGTCGGTGTGTGAGCACATTAAGATCAGAAAGGGCAACCTTTGGCTGGCGCATTTTGTGAATACCACTGCACAGCAGCAAAGCAAGCTGTTTCTGTGCTCCTGCTCCTCCCTTCTTTGCTGCCACAGAACCAGGTGTGTTACACCTCCTTGATACCGTCTGCTTCAGCTAACTGTTGCTCAGCACCGTAATGCGACAGACAAATATATTTAGTGTGAGACCACTACACTACCAGCTATCTTAGTCTATCTGCAAATAAAGCCTAGAATTAGATACAATGTGCAGACTTGGAGTGCAAGTTCATCGTCATTGTGCAGTCCCTCTATTAGATATCTTTTGTGGATATCTTTTGTGTAGGCCATTGGATGACATCAGGTAGCTTCACCACGAGCTGGCCTTAAGCAGGTCAACGCCAACCGAAGCCTGGCCGCGCGAAATGTCCAGATGCAAACAATGTGAGCGTGAGCAATGATGCTACTTGGGCGTATAGCGCAAGCAGAGAGTACATAGAAAATAATAAAACTTTTTAGTAATGCAAGCCGAGGTCACCTGGCAAGTAGAGGGC